AGAGCAGGGGCATGTGAGACATTAGCTTACAATAACAATGGAGATCATGCAATGTAAAAGAATTACAATACAGAGGGTGAGAGAAATGAGAACTTTTTCATCAGGTTGTTCCAGAAAACCTGGGTGTTCTCCATTCCTTTAAGCTTCAGGTGGAGTCTGACACTGCACCAGTCTGTGAGCGTAGCGGAGTCAGGAATGAACGCACCACATTCTGTTTTCATAACCACACAGACTGTACCTCATACTGCTGTTAGAATATCTGGGCCAGTTTGGTTTCATAGAATGAGTTCTATCATCACTTTTACTTCTGAATTTCATAACAAAATACCCTCTGCTGAGTCACTGAGAACTTTTGTATATAACTAATAAGAGAGTCAATGAGCCCCATTACGATCTCAAGTCCCGTTTGGGGGATAAAGACAGACCAAATGATCACAGCAGTGAAAATGGATCTGGTTCACTGATGCCACAAGGCTGGGAGGCTAGCTCGTCAGTCTATGGTTTTAATCCAGCGCCCCTACCCCCATGGGAACTGACTCTAATGTACCTCTTCCAATCTACCCTGGAAACTACCAAGGCCACAGGTTTGTGCCACAGAGCTGCTGAGTGCTCTTTAGGCCTGGCCATCTTATTCTGGCTCTTGCCTACCAATCAGCAGACAGATGTTAAGTTGTTTTAACACAATAGGATGGTTAGAGCTCTGCACAGGAATCGTTTTGCATGGCATTGCTTCATTTATCACAAGCGGGACTTTTTATTCCCAACAAAGGAGCATTACTTGGCTGAACTGCTCCAGAATATGTGCCAGTCATAGATGTTCATCTCAGACCTGAAAATATTTATCAGTGGATTGGTGGTTATTTTTCATCATGGGAGTCCTGATTAGGAGTCTAGGATAGATCAGGATCTCTATTTTTCCATGTGTAAGTATTAATTGTGGCTACAGAAAAATTCATCCTGGGGCCTTTTGATGAAGAGTCTCATTTATTGGCCAGTAGAAGACATTAGACCTTGTAGCAAGCTTTAAAATGATCACTGCACTTTGTAGCTGTTGTATAAAAATTTTAAAGCTTTATCCATTCCTCTTCCTATAGAGAAGACACCACCATGGCAGTCCACAAGAGCAGGCAGGTAAAATAAAATAAAGATAGGAAAAAAAAAAAAAAAAGAGCAGGCAGGTGTCCACAAACCCAGCATGCACCTTCGTTTTTTAAATTTTATTTTATTTATTGATTGATTGGCATATTGCTGGACCCAGTCAAGAGAAACATTCTTTTTCCTATTGAGAATGGCATAAGGGTTAAGAAGAAAATGAATTTTCTGACTGTGACTTTAGCAGACATAATGTAGTTGTGAGAGGATATGTTTAAGGAGAACAATCTTATTGGAGACTGGGTGGCACAGGATGGATTAAGTTGCTGAGTGCAGGAGCCTCTGGCTGTGTTGGAAGAACGCATGTGCACAGGTGTTCTGAAGTCAAGATAACTGCAGTGGAGGCAGCCAAGACCGTGGGCTGCTGACACCCCCTATGCCAGAGGTGTAAAGCTGCCAACAGTAGAGATAAGATGGTTCTCTTAACTGGCAAACTTCATTAGTTGGAGAAGTCTTTGAACTGACTCCCAAGGTTCCTGCTCAGTTCCCAGGTTTGCTTCAGTATCCCCTTACTTTGTTTGAAAACCAAATAAATATGGTCTGTGCAGAGAAATTCTTTGTCTCAACCCCCAGGGAATCTTCAGTTCTGTCAGAGGGTTTCCATCCTCCTGGAGCCCAAATCATACCATTTGTCTCTTTTATTTAAACCTTCACAGGCTACTCATTTAGGAGATTAGGGGTATGGTGTGACCCTAATATTAACTAATCTATCTTGAATCAGCCTTCTTATTCTTCCTGAGTAGTATATGCAAGTCCTCCAAAGGCTCTCAGAAGTATTCTTGACCTTGTAAAGTCTCCAAAAGAGCAGGTTTAATTCTTGACTGATGAACCCAAGAAATATGCCCTTGTTCTCTCTTCCTTCCTTCCTTCCTTCCTTCCTTCCTTCCTTCCTTCCTTCCTTCCTTTCTTTCTTTTTCTTTCTTTCTTTCTTTCTTTCTTTCTTTCTTTCTTTCTTTCTTTCTTTCTTTCTTTCTTCCTTCTCTCTTTCTTTCTTTCTTTTTTGTGGTACTGGCAATTGAACTCAGGACCTTGTGCTTGCCAGGCAAGCACTTATTCTACTGAACTATCTCCCCGGCCCCATGCCATTGTATCTTGAAAGATGCTGGTAAAGAAAAGGTGGGGGCTTGCTTTTTCTGCTTGATTGTTTCAAAAGCAAAGGAGGCAAGCCCTACTGACTTCTTGAATAGTGGACTTGAAGATTTCCCCTCAAAGCATGATTGACCCAAATGTCCAGTGCTTTTCTTTCTAGGTGGCATGAATCATGTTTCCTTTAATAATTTTCCACTGATCATCTGGAGTGAATAAAACTTTATGATCTTTTCCCTTAATCTACCAGCCATCCCTTTCCATATTACATCCTCACTGCCTTGTACATTCCTTTTCAATCTCTTTTTTTCCCCCGTAATTTTATTGACAGTCAAATAGCAATGAGACAGTTTCAGATCAAAT